CCAAAAGTTGGATCTGACTCTGTAACCATATTAAACACTGTTACACCTGTGCTTATTGAGCAGGCCTCAGGAGTTCCATAGCCATATCCAACCTATTGTGATTACAAAGCCCTCTTTGGACATGAGCAACCAACATGCTAAGATCTGTTGAGTTGCAAGGACTTGTCTGTGCTTATATCTGCATCTGCACTTTAGCCCCATATGGGAGCAGACAGACCCCTAAATAGGATATAGCTAGCCTATTTAGTGCAGACTTCTCAAATGTTTCCCTTGAGGACCATTAGCCACAGGTTGAACTTTAGTGACCCAGATGCCAGCCATATACTTCTGTCATAATAAAGGCTGGTTTGTATCTTGAGACTTTTGTACATTGGGCTTTCTTTTGTAATACAGCCTGTTCTCCTCCTGCTGTTTGGAAATACCTTCTTGAATAGAGAATAGACACTTTACTCATGATGCCCCAAGTCCCACTTGTTTATTTTGGTCTCTGTTCTTGCACCATAAAAAGTAGGGCCAGTTCTGCTCCTCTCTTACCTTGCAGCAGCAGCCCACAGATCTGTTGATACTGCTTTTCCAGCGACTCCAAACTTCCATCCATGGTCATATGAACAAACACTTGTACTTCTGAAATAAGTAACGTGTAAAATATAAATTGCTGTTACAAATGAAATGAAGCTGTAAAAGAGAAGTTTTTCTTGGATAGTGGCAATAATTAGGTGTTTCAACAAAATGATAAATGTCATACTGGAAATATACAACCTGCTTATAGGGGCAATATTTTCCTAATCCCTAGTTACCCACTAGAAGAGTTAAATACATCCCTTCCTCTTTTTAAGAAGTCAATGTGTTTATTATTGATATTTCCAGTAAAGAATATTTAAAGAACCTTGCCAGTCTACAGTGTCTGTAAAATCTTAAATTTTAGGCAGCATTCCCATCTCTAATGGAATGGAGTCTGCATTTGTTATTTTTATCTTCAGAGCTCTGTATTTCTGCTTACTGTGAAACTTGTCTTCAGGGTTATTAAATAAATGCCGTATAATGTTTGCTTAGGCTAAGCAGTTGCTACACATTCTGGTGTGGAAAGTAGATTTGTGGCCAAGCTATATGTTATTCAGCAAGTTTGTCATCAGATCTCCCAATCCTTAATCCCCATTCTGCTGGATAGAATGATGCTGGGAGTAGGAGTGAGGGTGGTTAACCCCTTTCCACTGGATAGTTCCCCAATATAAATGCCTCTTAAAACTTCTGTTAGTCATTTAAAGTCAAACATACAGTTTTCTGTGATGAAAATCCTGTTGCTTAGTATAGTAAAGTGTACTAGAAGAAGGCCATTGAATCAGTGGGGATTTAGAGAACCAGCTCCCTCATAAATTTGATTTATTCAAATGGGCCTACTCCAACTGTGACTTACTTTAGTATAGTATGTTGCAGTTATAGTAGGCCTATTTGAATCAATGGAATTTACAGAGGGAGTTGAATCACCAAATCCCCATTGATTCAATGGACCTAGTCTAGTCTGATTTACTACTGTACACTAAACAAAAGGGTTTGGTTTATATTTTAGGAATAACTGATGGAACAAATAAGCATTTTGTAGGTAAAAACAATTGGCAAGGAAAATGGCTGTTCAGGTGTGCATCCTTATTTGATCAGTACAGGGACTCTCTTCTGGCATGACAAGTCGGTAGTGTGCAGCTCACAAAGTGCATGTTTTCCCTGAAGACCATTTTTTGACTCTCAGAATCCCACAGAGCGCCCCCCCCCATTTTCTTTTCAGCAATAGAAAATGAATTTTCTCACTCCTGGAGCTGTGATTCCAAGAAGTACAAAAAGAAAAAAGAAAAACAAAGCCCAGAAATGAAATTTGGAAGTGGAGATCTGGTGGTTCCAGTTCTGAACTTTTGTCATGCCCAGAGGTTTATATTTCTAATGTAGCCTGTGATGGATATTGGGGTGAACATTTGACTCCCAGGTTTACTGACATTGACCACCACAACACTATAACAATCTATGTGCAGATTGTTACTGGATCTGCTGTTTTTGTGCAGATTGAGTATGTGTTAGCCACCATCATCTTCTTATGCAATGTAAATATTAATAAACTAAATTTCTGAATTTGCACGAGGCATTACTTTTCTTCATTCATGCTTTTCACTTCAACTAAGATCTGTATGTTAGATAAGTCTTTATCAGTAAGGCATTGTTGTCTTGACATTTAGTGCTAGAAAGATGAATTAGGAATGCAATGTGTGGGCAGAAAGAGTCTGTGTATCCATTTTAAGATTTTTCTACTTAATTTTAATCCAGTATATGAAGCATATCCCGCTTAGGCAAATCCGATCACAGGAGTTATACAAAATTTACAACCAATCTGATCATGACAGTGTATTTGATCAGTGACTCATTCACAATTAGAGAATGTGCTTAGGACCTAACACATTCAGAATGTAACTGATTCAAGTATGTAATGTGTACTTAAAATTTAGACTCAGTGTAGAAAATGTTGCTCACTGTATTTCTTCTGTGTTACTTTAAAGGCATTGTATAAACTTTAGAAAAAGATCAAAGCGGTTAAACATCTTGTCCATAGATGTTCTGGTTAATGAAAAATATTAAAGTATATGAATAATACTAAAACTTGTTAATAATGCTATCATTGGTATTTGATGGTTGAACTTTTATTTGATTTCCCTGGCTATAATCCACTAGATTTCTGTAGCATATTTGAAAATGTGTGGGCTATGTCTATTTGAAAAAGTTGGGCTACTTGTTAAGCTTAGTAGAGCTCTTCAAACTGAATTGAATTTTAGAAGAAGATCTTGTCTTATTTTTAGTATTGTGCTCTTATGCTTGAAGCCTGTTGCTTTAAATCCATGAGGTTCCTCTTGTTTTAACTGTTTGTGATTTTGTCTGTGTGTCCATGTAATTTCAACTTCAGCTATATATTTATATTTATTGTTTATTTTCATTTGTATACCATGCCACTTTTTCTTTGTGGTTTCTGTGGATCATATAAATTGGTCCTGTGCAGACCCATTTGTGTGAATCCACAGATTGGATTCAAACAGCAACAGTTACAGATAAGCAGTGAATCGTTCTTTGTGGTCTGTGAATCACACAAATGGGTTTGTGCATGTGCAAAGCTATGTTTTAGAATGTTTCCCAGTTAGGCTTTTCGGGAGTAACCCTGCCCATACCCACCCTTGCACATGTAAAGACATGCCCCAATCTGCAGCCCTCAGTTTCTTTTTCTCTAACTCAGAGTGAATTCTGATCTTCTTCAGCTAAACAGAAGTTCATACCTTAGCATTCCCTATTTCCTTCAATCCTACTTGTTTCTTATTTTGTCTGTGTAAATTTTATTGAAGTTTTCTTTTTGACACACATTGTTAATTTCTATTCTTTTTGGTTGTTGTGGGTTTTTCGGGCTCTTTGGCTGTGTTCTGAAGGTTGTTCTTCCTAACGTTTCGCCAGTCTCTGTGGCTGGCATATTCTGTATATATCTGCACATGAACACATGTGTTCAAAATTCTACCTGAAGATTGCTATGTAAATATTTAAATATCTGCCTGCTTGCTTTGGGCCCATCAACACAACGTATTTGTCAGTAAACAGATATGAGAAAACATACCACAATTCTCCCTAATTGTCATCTCACAAGGAAATGTATTTACGCTTGAGAAAGTGTGATATGTTGTTATTTATTTGCACCAGAGCTGGAAATAACTTTTTAGAAATTTTTTCTTCCTGTGACAAGATATAACCACTGCTGATCCCACTCCTGGTGGTGCTGGTGACTCACAAGGTCTTCCATTAATAACTCCATAGGCTTCAGGTTGCGAGAATAATCAGTAACAGCTTTTGTTTCTCCAGACAGGCATACAGGAACAGAAATGGAGGCTTTAACTCTCTAAGTGATATTCCTGGGGGTTGAGTTCCTTGCAGTAACCCCCCCCCAGGGAATGTCCTTCAAGAGGAACCCTTGTTAACATCACAGGGGGCCCTGAGAGTAAAACAGGAGGAGAGGATAAGTTCAGGCTCTGGTTGGAGTTATTTTAACAGCAACCAGTTGAGGCTTGCTCCAGTGCCTTTGTCTCCAGTATGGCAGCTGAGTTGGAATAGGCAGCACTGGTCCCATTGGATGGCATAGGAGCCAAGGTAGCAAAAGCATTTCTGAGAGCTCTGGCAGTTCTGGCAAAGGAGCCCTTCATCTGTGACCCCTTCCTCTGACTAACTGGCAGGGTTCAGGAGCTACTGGTTGGGTTTCTCCTCAGATCTGCTTTCCACCTCTTCCCAGGAACAGAACTGGAGCCCCAAGCCTCGATGGCCTCCCCTCTGATCTCTTCTTTGTCTGAAGTCAACATATTCCCTTCCGATTCTCTTGACCAAGCCCTCAAGTCTTCCTGTTTCTCCTCCATTATTCTGGCCGCCACCTCTTCCTCTTTCTGCAGGTTCCAACATCTATCAGCTTTTCTTAAAACAGCTGTCATCTCTATCTCCTGCCTGATAGTGGCCTGGGAACTGGGGTCTCTCCTAGGTTCTTCTGGGCAGCAGGACAAGGGCAGATGGCCTGCCCATGGCGACCTGTCACATAAGAAAATGGAGAAAAGTTAAGAGCTGCAGAAACAGCAATGGCTGATTTCTCTTTGGGTATTCAGATTCCTAGGAAATCACTCAATTTCCTGTTTTTTCATCTGTAAAATGTGCTGTTTACTCCAGCATGCTGCTTTAATCTTTATGTGGGCATGTTAATGTACTCTCAAGTTGGAACCAATTTATAGTGACCCAAAATATAAGTGAGGTATTTAAGAAGTGATTTTTTGAGTTCCACCCCCATCCCAGTGAGTTTCTGTGACCAAGTGGGGAATAGAATCCAGGTCTCTTGCGTCTTAATCCCTCACTCTTTTCTACTACACCACATTAGGTACATGCTTTAATCTTAGTGTCTGTAATACTTTGAGATGATCTGACTTTTCTTCTTTCTTCTCTTGTTGCAGCCATAATGTATGTAATGGGAGCTCTTGGTCCAGCAGCAGGATATTTAGTAGGAGGAGTTCTTATTGGATTTTATGTGGATCCTCGAAGTTCTGTTTCAATTGACCAGAGTGACCCTCGCTTCATTGGTAACTGGTGAGTTGCTACCACCTATGCTTTCACTGTGTGAGAATAACTGTGAAGGTGCATCCATTCTCAGCTAATGGAATGTTTCTGAAGGTGGCTGAAGAATTTTAAAATTTGGCTGTGTCTTCAGCAGCACTATATGGTTTGAATACCATAAGCCTGGCCATACACTGTGGAACCTTGCCATGTTTCAGCTGTGGCACAAGACAGTTGGTTCCAAGTCCACTTTGCACAACATAAATTGTGCCTGCCTCACATTGTGGGTGCAGAATAATGCTTAAACAGTGGTAAAATCTGCCACCTTGGGAACACTTCAGTGTATTACAAGCCACATTCAGGGCTTATGGCTAAACACCTCTATGGCGAATACAGTACCCCATAAAACTCACCCAAAAGGATGACTGGAGTTTTTCCATGTGTTCTAATACATGTCATAATTGGTATGGGTGAGTGTTGTAACCACTTACTTAGCCAAGGGTTTATGGCTGAGGTGGGATCAGGAGGAGGGGGAAGGATTGAAAGCCTTACAATCTGCCACTCCAAAAAGCCATGGTTACTTCACTTGGAGAATCTTAGATATTTCTGCTGCTGATTACATCTTTTCTGTCTTACTCAAAAATAAGCACAGGGGGTAGAGTGGGAAACCTTTACTGCCAACATTCTCTGCAAGGTGAAGGGTGCCTCTGCATTCTTATTTTCTTTGTCTTACTTGACAGGCATTTAGTACAGTAGTACTCATTGTAAATGAACTGTACCTCTTGTCCTTCTTACAAGTCAAAGCTCACAACAGCTTTGCAGTGGAGCTTGTGGGCACCTTCTCATTTTGACTTGGATGAGGATAATAACTGTTTAGCATTAACCATTTCATATCTACATGTATCCTACAAATAGTTTTTGAGGTGGCAGAGTTGAGAAGTGTTTGCTGGTTTTAGCAATAGAATTAAATAAACAATTTATTTAAAATATTTCTATCCTGCCTTTCCCGCCTTTCTCCCCAAAAGGACCCAAGGTGGCTGTTAGCAACAGTTGCAGCTAAAATAAAAAAGTAGCACTGATTGTATGAAAGTTAAAAGAAAGTGAGATACCAATTGACTTGTAGCAATAGGGTAGATTTCAGTTTGAAGAGGTATGGCCTGAGATTTTCAGTGCTTTCAATGCTGAACATCTACCAGATGGAAATAACTGGGTGCTGAGCTATAATTAGGCACTTTTACAGGGCTCTGAGTAGCCATAAAGCTTATGGCTCCCTAGTTCTAACAAATTCTCTTTAACTGGTCTTCTACAAATGGCTTCCTCAGTCTTTTAACATCTATTGCACCACTAAAGCTGAACTTGACAGTAGCCGGTAACCTGGGAACATGGGAACCTGCCATCCTTATCTACCTAAAGTGGTACCTCAGTTTACGAATTAAATGTGTTCTCCGGGATGTTTTGTAATGTGAAAAATTTGCTAACCAAAACATGGTTTCCCATAGGAATGCATGCAGTGCTATAAACCTCCCAGGCGCAATGCAAACTTGCTTCATATTGTGGATTTATTTTTTTAAACAGAGGCATTATTTTCAATGGATTTTCGTTCATAAACCAAAAATTACGTTAACCAAGGCATTTGTAAACCGAGGTACCACTGTATGTGTATTTTTATGCAGGTGGACTATGCTTGCCAGTTGTGCGGTGGTAAATTTTTAAGTGCAAGCACTCAACATGATGATCTCACAGTGATCTCTCCTAGGGAGTACAAAAATCTGGCTAAAGTGCCAATCCATGCCAGCAAACTAGTTTTATCCTTTTTGATCTCAGCCAAGGGTAGCTGGTTTTGTAGACCTAATAAGTCTTAATGTCCATGCAAGACCACAGCATCCAAATACTTTGCATCACAAGCTCAGTGCATGGTTACAAAGCAACATGCCCTGTGGTTTGTGTCAGTGTTGACACGGTTGAATTTGATACATTTTCTGGTGATTACATGTCATAAAGCTAATCAAATGGAAGCATGGTCTTTTTTAGTTGGCATTTTGGTGCATTATGATCTGCTAGCAGAGATGCACAGTATTCTATGCTGATTCTGCCTACATTGACGTACTTCAGTTTCTGCTCTTTGTTTGCCAATCTTTGCCTTTGGAATTGATGTGGAATCAATATTTCTGTTAAGCTGTACAAAGCTATTGTTCTGTCCTCTACATAATGCAGTGGAAATGTGGACTATCTATCAACGCCATGCAAGAAAGCCCAATCATTTTCATCATACTTGTCTGTGGAGAATTCTTGACCTCAAATGGCAAGATAAAGTCCCTGACACTGAAGTCTTGATGACAAGCATTTTCACCGTCTTGAAATGACAACAACTTCAGTGGGCTGGCCATGTTGTCAGGATGTTGGACGACCATTTTCCAAAACATAATTTCTATGACGAGCTTGTTGCAGATGCTTAATTGTTGGGGTGGGGGGATGGGGAAAGAAAAATGATTCAAGGATACACTGAAGAGAACATTGAAACATTTTAATGTTGACCATGTCAGTTGGGAAACTTTCTTTCAAAACCAGAGTGCTTGGTGAAATACTATCAAAAAAGGACTAAAGAATTCAAATAAAAAGAAACATGGTTGCACAAAGGAAGAGAGTAGTGAGAATGCAAGGATGTATCTTCTCGACAACCCAATAAGCCCAGGATCAGCTAACCTGTCTCCGTTGTTTCAGATTTTTTAGGCTCTTATTAGGCTAGTTAGTCACCTGCATGTCCATCAGTATGTTATTGCACTTCTTTTCTTTTCTTTTTCTTTAAATGGTGAATCTGATGAAGATGGTCATCTTCAAAAACAAAAGATGAACTATAAAAAGAATTTATATTTTTGTCACATTTGGGTCCCAGTTGTGTTATTTGCAGCAGTGCCCTTGTTCTCTGCAGATTTACATGATAGCAGTTTAAGACCTCTGTCTGCTATGATTATTTCATAATTTCCTGACTTTAGGTGGAGTGGATTCCTGCTTTGTGCCACTGCAATGCTCCTTGTTATACTCCCCATGTTTACCTTCCCCAAAAAGCTTCCACCTCGACACAAAAAGAAGAAGAAAAAGAAAATGCATGAAGATGATATTCCAAGCGATGATGATATTGTAAAAGAGAAAGCAAACAGCAAACAGCAGGTAGACCATGAGGTTCCTGCTTCAATAGGATTTGGAAAGAACGTTAAAGGTAAAATAATCTATTTAAAAGTTCATACATTTCTTATTAGTGTCTGTTGAAAACTGGCAGGAAATGAAAGCCGATTGAATATCTGTAGCCTTTTTTCCAGATGTAATACTGGTGAGATGTTAAGGTGGGAGATGTTTTTTTTCATTTGCATTCATTCCTGCATGATAGTAAACTAGAGTGTAGATTGTCTATTATTGTAAATCAGCAAAGTGCTGCTGCATATAGCTTGATTGTTCTCACTTTGTTTGAGTAGCAAAAACTAACTAGGAAGTACTTCTATATTGTGAGCCTCAAAGCTCAACTCTTGACTTCTTGCTCTCAAACAAGCCAAAATTTAGAAGCCAACAATAGTTATTAGCCATCGGCTGGAGGTTCCAAGGCTCTCTTTTGACCTGGGGAAGCCTTTGGGTCCTTAGGATAGGGGCCCTATTAAAGTCTGAAAATCATGGTCTCCAGTCACAGCAAGGATTTTCAGATATTAAAGACTTCTGGGTGGTAAAGACCAGAAGAGATTGTGAAGAGCACCAGAAGGATCTCTCCAAACTGGGGGAATGGCCGGCAAGATGGCAAATGTGTTTCAATATAAGAAAATGTAAAATAATGCACATTGGGGCAAAAAAATAAATAAATCAAAACTTCATTTATCAGCTGATGGGTTTGGAGCTGTCCCTGATGGATTAGGAAAGAGATCTTGTGCTGTTGGACAGCTCAATGAAAGTGTCAACTCAGTGTGCAGCAGCAGTGAAGAAGGGCAATCCTATGCTAGGTATCATTTAAAAAGGGGATTGAAAATAAAACAGCCAACATTATAATGCAACTGTACAAAACACTGGTAAGGCTGCACCTGGAGTATTGTGTACAGTTCTGGTTGCTGCACCTAAAAAAAGATATAGTGGAACTGGAAAAGGTGCAGAAGAGAGTGACTAAAATGATGACTGGGCTGGGGCACCTCCCTTATGAGGAATGGCTACAGTGTTTGGGGCTCTTTAGTCTGCAGAAAAGGCGGCTGAGGGGGCTCATGATTGAGACATATAAATAATGCAGGGGATGGATAAAGTGGATAGAGGGAAGCTCTTTCCTTGTCACATAATACCAGAACCAGGGGACATTCACCCCTATTGAGTATTGGGAGAGTGAGAACAGACAAAAGAAAAGATTTCTTGACCCAGCGTGTTGTTAGTCTGTGGAACCCCTTGCCACAGGATGTGATGATGGCATCTGGCCTAGATGCCTTTCGAAGGGAATTGGACAGATTTCTAGAGGAAAAGTCCATTGCAGGTTACAAGCCGTGATTTATTTATTTTATTTGTTTATTCAACTTTTATGCTGGCCGCACCCTGCAAGGGTCTCCAGGCGGCTTCCAACATCAATTAAAATAGTTCAATTAAAACAAACACACTAAAACCAATGCGGTTGCATCTACAAAACCAAGAATAAAAAACAAAAACAGTCTACAAAAACAATCTAGATCCATAACTCTATCAATTAAAATAAAAAACCTTCAATTAAAAACTTCAGTTTAAAAACTTCCGTAACAGGAAGGGTTTTACCTGGCGCCAAAATGTCAGTAACGTTGGTGACGGTTGGATGTCATTTGGGAGGGCATTCCAAAGATTGGGGGCAGCTGCCGAAAAGGCCCTCCGCCTACAGGCCATCCCTCTCACCTCAGGAGGGCCTTCTGGCTAGATCTTAGTTGCTGGGTAGGTTCGTATGGAAAGAGGCGGTCCTTCAGGTATCTGGGGTCCAAGCCACTTAGGGCTTTATATGTCAAAACAAGCACTTTGAATTGGGCCCGGGCAATAACTGGTAGCCATTGTAACCTGGCCAGAATCAGCTGAATATAGTCTCTCATGGCTCCTCCACTCACCACACATGCAGCTCGATTCTGAACCGGTTGTAGTTGCCGGATCGTCTTCAAAGGCAGCCCCACGTAAAGCATATTGCAGTAATCTAAACGGGTTGTTACCAGTGCATGAGTAACAGGTAGGGTCATTCGTCCAGGTAGGGCCTCATCTGGAACAGTTTCCACAGTTGCAGGAAGGCACCCCTGGCCACCGAGTCCAGGGCCAAACCGGGGTCCAGGAGCACTCCCAGACTGCAGACCCTGTCCCTCAGGGAAGTGCAACCTCCCTCAGGGCAGGGAAATGGCCCTTTAACCTGTCCGACGAACCACCCACTAGCAGCACTTCCAGCTTGTCTGGATTAAGCTCAATTTATTAACCCTCATTCAGTCCATTATCAGGTCCAGACATGAGTTCAGCCTAAAGACTGCCTCACTTGGTATCACGTTCCTAGGGGATTCAGTAGCTGAAAGTCCAATAAGCCAGTCCAGGGTCAGAAGTCCAGGAGATACAAAACAGATGCTAAATTGTCAAAGCTAGAACACAAACCGTAGTCAGAAGTCAGAGTCCAAAAGCCAAGGGTTAAGAGAGCAAGGTTCGAGACAAGCAGGAGTGTAGACGCAAGCCGGAGAATTGACTTATTGCTTCCCCAAGCTTCCAAGCCTCTGGGAACAAATTATATAACAGCAATAATCATATAATTCCTAGAAACATTCGGTCCTGTTAAAACTCAGGGCTGGTCGACCTGATGTTCATGTGGGAAGCATTCATGCAAGCCTCAGACCTTCGTGTTGTGAGTCTCTGCCAAAGCTTATATCTCACTCATGGCACCTGGATTGGTGGAAAAAGAGAGGTAGAGCTGAGTATTGTCAGCATATTGCTGACTTCTCAGCCCAAACCTCCTGATGACCTCTCTCAACGGTTTCATGTAGATGTTGAACAGCATGGGGGACAATATTGAGCCCTGAGGAACCGCATGGCGTAACTGCCATGGGTCCGAGCCATTGTCCCCCAACACCCCCTTCTGGGCATGGTCAGCCAGAAAGGAGTGGAACCACCGTAAAATGGTGCCCCCCAACTCCCAACTCAGCTAATCTATCCAGAAGGATACCATGGTTGATGGTGTTGAAAGCCACTGAGAGGTCCAGGAGTATCAACAGGGTCACATTCCTCCTGCCTCTCTCCTGGCAAAGGTAATCATACAGGGTGATCAAGGCAGTCTCAGTGCCAAAACCCGGCCTGAAACCCGATTGAAATGGATCTAGAAAATCGTTTCATCCAGGAGTGCCTGGAGTTGTCCGGCCACCACCCGCTCCAACACCTTGCCCAAATAAGGGAGATTCTCCACCGGCAGATAGTTAGCCACTGACCCTGGGTCCATATTAGGCTTTTAAAGGAGTGGTCAAATCACTGCCTCTTTCAAGGTGATAGGGACCACTCCCTCTAGGAGTGTTGATGGCTTCCTAGACCCATGTATGAATCCCCCTGGGAGATTTCCCAATTAGCCAAGATGGGCAAGGGTTGAGCAGAGTGGTGGTAAACTGGACAGATCGAAGCACCCTGTCCATATTATCAGGTCTCAATAATTGAAATTCATCCATTAAAATTTGACCTAATGCTGGCGCACTGGGCACATCCTCCGATTCTGCATCAATGGTGGAGTCCAACTTACTGCAAATCTGAGCAATTTTTCAAAATGTAAAGCAAATTCCTCACAGCGAGTTGCTGAGTGGTCCTATTTTTCCACCAGCTCTTCCGGCTGGAGGAGATCACGGACCACCTGAAACAGCTCTGCTGGATGACATTCTGAGGAAGCAATGCGGGTGGTGAAATGTTGTTTCGCCAGCTGTATTGCCATGGAATAGGCCTGATAATGGGCTCTAAGCCGTGTTTGGTCAGATTCACAGCATGATTTCCTCCACCTGCACTCTAGCCATCTCCCACACGCTTCATCGCCCACAGCTCAGACATATACCGAGGAGCCATCTGGGCTTTATAGGTGGAGAGAGGGCACTTAGGCATGATCGTGTCAACCGCCCAGGTCATCTCTCTGTTCTACAACATGACCTGAGCTTCGACAGGAGTGCTGAGCATATCAGATGGATATTCCCCCAGAGCATTCAGGAAACCTTCCGGATCCATTAGTCTCCGAGGGTGTATCATCTTAATAGATCCCCCACCCTCGCAGAGGAAAGAGGATGCCAATAGTCTAAACTTTACCAGGAAGTGGTCTGACCATGACAATGGGGTCACTGCCAGCCCCTCCACATCCAAATCATCAACTTGCAATCCCCATTGAGAAGACCAGGTCCAAGGTATGGCCCTGATGGGGGTGTATAATCTCCAGGCTTTAAAGGAAGGTACCTCCAAATGCCAGATGCAAGGGAAGGGTATCAGGAGACTAGTTGTCTCGTGTGCTCCCAGAAGCATCTGGTGGGGCCACTGTGAGATACAGAAAGCTGGACTAGATGGGCCCTTGGCCTGATCCAGCAGAGTTCTTCTTATGTTCTTTTGTTCACACCTGTCTTGAGGACCCTAAAGGCTTTGCCAGTTTGAAAGGGATCTCTAGGGAGCCTCAGAACCTGGGGACAAGGAAATGGGAAACTTTAAATTAAAGATAAAAGGCCATGGCTGATGTCATTATCAGCCATATGCATGTGGAGCTGTGCCAATAGGATTAGAGCTGTTGTGTAGTATATAACTGATCTACTGTCTCCTGATAAATTCATCTGATAGACATTAAAATACAAATTAGAATATAATCATAAGCATTTGTGATTTAATGTACTGATAATGCTATCTACATGTGTTAGAAATACCCGTTGGGAATACAAGCAGAAACAGGAAAGCATTTAGCAGCATTAAATTTCTTATGCATTTTAATATTATATATGTGCATATACATTAGCTAAATACAAAATCTACATAGAGAAGCATCAAAGACTGCTAACCAAAACATAAACTCATGTTGTTTTGTACCTCTGACTATGCTGTAACAATAAAAGCACAGAACAGAATTTAAGACACAAGGAGACATGAGAAGAACAAGGGAATTTTTTAAGATGGCAGTCCATAAAGTTGTAACTTTGCTCAGTAAGCCAAGATATAAACAGAGGACACAAATAATTCATTCCTTCTTGCTGTAAATTACAGTTACGCCAAGAAGTCTCAAAACATAATTTATATTTCATCTGCAGGCTAACTATGGTTACCAGGTTTAACAATCTAGAATCTTAAAACAATTTCAAATCATGGTTTATGACCCTAGATTGTGCTAAAGCTGGTAAACATAGCAAAGTTATATGTTAATATTATTAGTTAGTTTTATACTGTATTTCCATAAAGTCAATGAAGCAGTAGCAAATGAAAATAAAATAGCAGCAATATAAAAATAAACAATAAATCTATTTTAAATCATTATAGCAGTTAAAAACAGTGTGAACAAAGTGGGAAACCATGGTTTATTTGAAAGTCTCCAGCTTAAATGTCCATGCGCTAAGACAAAAAAGGCTTATTTATATTTTAGCTTGTTAAGCCAAGATTCATTCTGGCCTGCTTCAAATCATCATATTCATTTTGTAGCTGGTTTTCAGGCCGACTGTCCTGTTAAGCTATTTGCCTTCCCTTTCAGCTTTTTGCTGTTGCAATATAATTCCCCCACCAGACAGTGACCTAGTTTTGGCATAGTCATAAAACTGTATCATCAGTTTGCAAATATAGTGGTGCAATTTCATTTTCACCTTCAAAATGTCACCCTTTACTTCGGACATTGCAGTATCATAATTGCACAGTTAGCGAATCAGCGGATTTAACAACCTATTAGAATATGCTGTTCTCGGGCTTTTTCTTTGTTACATTTAATATTTGGGATACAGTTCTTAAACTATTTATTCTTGAATTACTCAGATCTAAGCAAGGTTCCGGGGGGGGGATTGTAGCATTGCAAGTTTACCCAACATAAAATTATTTACAGAGCAGAACTGTATTTTGTTAAAAGCTTTCCAATCCCTGCTGTATATTTCCATGATTTCAAATGAAAATTTGCTGCTGGTCTCTGCTGCTTTCTCCAGCTTGTAGGAAAACTTCGCTTTATAATACTGTATTGAAAAGTATTGCAAACCCTAAATGAGGGATCTGGTTGTGGACAGAATACATCTTGTCTGCTTGGCTGATCTAAACATTATCAACCTATGCTATATAAAGTGTTTATAATTTATTTTTATTTTATTTAGCCTTATAGTCAGAATTGACTTGTTAGGTAGCTTACTACAATTTAGTCCACCACAAAATGATAGGGATATGTCTATATGTGTAGTTGGGAAAGTTGTAATAGAGTTTGAGTCAGGGAAGATATTACCACAGCTTTTTGTTTCATAGTTTATGTTTTCCTCTTTTTAACAGCCTATATTGACTACTCTGTTTCTTCTCAAACACATAAAAACACACTTAATTTAATCCAGTTGCTCAAATATCTGCCTTCAAACGCAGGTCTGTAAAGTATGAGAGTGCAAGTGTAATCCAGCATTTTAGATTTGGCACCTTGCCTCTGCTCTTTCAAGTTTACTCTTTCAGTTTTCAGTATGCTAAAGTTAGGGCCATCTGAATCAATGGAACTTCTGGAGGAGTTCTTATCAAATCTTCACTGATTCAGTGGGCCTACTCTGACCCTATGTTGAGTAACTTTCCATAGTATAGTAAGTTACAACTAAGGTAGGCTGATTTGAATCAATGGAACTTATGAAAGAGTTGATTCATTGGGCCTGCTCTAGTGCAACTTACTACACTAAACAACAGGATTTTAATCAGTGAGGATCTCCTGCTGGATCTGGTCATCTTTACAAAATGATTCATCTTTGGTCAGAATCATATCATGCCTTGGTTGGGTATGCATTTCTTTTCAAAGTTTATTTCAAAGCAGAACAGATTTGTTTTCATTTGCCATTTTTTATCTGTAAGGTTCATATGTTGTCCTTCTGTTTTACTTCTTTGTCCTTTGTAGAACTTCCAAGAGCAGCTATCAGGATCTTAAGCAACATGACATTCCTTTTTGTGAGTTTGTCGTACACAGCTGAAAGTGCCATTGTTACTGCTTTTATTACCTTCATTCCCAAGTTCATTGAGTCACAATTTGGCATCCCAGCTTCTAATGCCAGCATCTACACTGGTAGGCATTGCTGTTAATAAGGACATTTGTAAGAGTTATTTTCCTGTGATTATTATAATTGTTATGGTTACTGAAGTCAGCATTCATACTTGAGTATGAATTGTCACTTACAATCTTGAAAACGTGCGAAATCACAATGGATTTACTAACCTGGATTGGACCAGAAGCCCATCCAGCTCAGAGTCTTGTCTGTTGCAGTGACTACTCAAATGCCTCTGGACAATTATAAGTTAGATCGTGGCACAGTGCTCACAGTTCAAAAAACGGAGTATTGTTCCTGAACGTGAAGGTTCTAATTTTAGCTATCATGCTGATGTCCATTGCAGAACTTTATGGTACCACGTCATTCATCTTCAAAGCATCATATAAAAGGCATGAGATATTATAACTGACATTAACTCTGTAACGGTGCAAAATACAGCCAAACATTTGAACTAAAAAAAAGAGTATAAAATAGGAATCCTATACTGATATATTATATGAATTCTGTTATATTTTTAAAAAATCTCAGTTACCATAATTATAGCAATTTATGTACATATTTAAAAGGGAATCATAAGCTAAAGGAAAACAAGCCAATCTTAGCAACACTTACTATTGAAGAGTCCTTGAATGGGTAAGCACTTTATATTTGATGATAAGAATCCAGAATAGTGGATAAAACTGTATGGTTGGAAGAGTAAAAGAGAAGCAAGGCAAGCAGTATGATACAGAACTGCTGAAGGGAGAGCTGGCATTTTCAGCTAAAATCTTGCTTATCTTGGTAAATTTATATGTGTAGAAAGTGAAAGGACAGTCTGCTACAAATGGTGATATTTTTAAAAAGGAGAGAAACAGTTGGAGGCAAGCCTGTGAAGAGCGTAAGGATTCCACTGTAGGGTATGGAAGTTGTCCTTTATGTAACATAAATAAAGCCTATTTGATTGATAGGCCTGTAATTCTGTATAATTAGTAGAGGTTTCTCCAGCCCTAAGGATATCAGTTCTACATATTGCAGATATACCCAAGAGTCTTAGTTATATTATTGCCTGATGCTATAAGTATACGTACTCTAAAACACAACATTCTGGGCAAACCCTTGTGCTTGGTATGGGTAACTGCTGCTTAGAGAAGGGCATGAACCACAGTTTGATGGTCTTGCCCAGTTTGGTGCGACACCTGCACCTCTCTTGTTTCCTCTGTGCACTCACCCATTCCATGGATGATGTGCACTTCCCTTTCTGTCTCCCCAGCATGACTGCTCACTCACAGATCGTGGTGTGCACTTCCCTCCTCCGCCTCCTCCAGCGCCTGTCCACTCAGATGAGGAAGCAGGGTAGAGAACACTTGGGAGAGTGCGGCACCGAACTGGGGCAAACTGCGGTTTGTGCCCAATCTCTATTGCTGCTTATGTGGAGTCCAGGAATGACAGATAAGGCAGAACTAAGCTGGTGTATTTGTTTGACCAACTTAGAGTACCAAAAAGAGCTAATTTTCATTACTGACATTAAAACAGATATATTATCCTTGGGTTAAAAAAAACTATATGGGATGCTGAGTTCACAATTAGATGTTGATGGCTTGGTTTATCCTTGAGTGACATGATTCTTCATGGCCGTCAGCCTGAGCAATAAGACTTGTAGATATTCCTCCTGATCCCTGGTCACCAAACAAAACTTGCTAATTTACAAACGTAGAGGTGCTAAAATAAAGATTAATCTCTACTTCTGAATGCAGAGCTGATTGTTTTGTGTCATTTGGTCCTGTGATTGGAATATTTCAAGATGTTTGACAGTTTTGACTTAATTTTTCTTTAATAACCTAACTTTAGTACTCTGCCCTGGCAACATTGCTTTCTGAATGCATTTTGGTTCTCTCACTAAAAAACCTTATCTCACCTCTTAAGTCATTTCTGCTATTACCTGCATGCAGAGTTTGGCATCTTTGGTGTTAGATGAATTTGTCATTTTTGAATATTGTTGGTATTCAATTCAACAATCACTTATGGAGGGTCAAGGCTAATTTTACTACTATTACATCTACTGGTTTTAATCAGTGTGGGTCATAAGAGCTTTACTGACTAGTTACTGTTCCAACTAAATTTAAAAATGACCAGAATTACTTCATTATTGAAAGGGATATAAATTGGGTTTCCGCTCCTGTGTTTATATTATTATCCTGAAACAAAGCTCACCCATTATAAAGCTTTATGAACAATACTAATATGGAAGTAATTTTGACTCTCAGGACAGTGTGATAGAAAATAGTCCAATAAGAAACATTTTTCTATTTTTGTAAGATGGTGAAATTGCCTTGAGTAGGAATAGCCTTCTGATTACCCCAGGGTGTGTTCAGATATCGGATACGGTAGTTGTCTTAGTGAAATGGAATATCTGGCGAAACATGATCTGCACATTTGTCAGCTATTTTGCATTAACAGCATTCATGAAAAAGCATGCATCCCTAAAAACCATTCTTACAACCTAGTTCTGATAGAACTCAGTTCTATCTCCCCAGTAAATTGTGTTTTGGCTGGTGTTAGTATCACTTTTGAAAACCCATCTGGTGACAAATTTTACAGTCTGTGTCCCACCCCCATATGAGAAGGACACAACATTTTTCTTGTCAGTTTTTGCCAATAGCTCAAGGGCAGAAGCTGGAAATTTCTGACTGAAATCTGATCTTGGCTTTAGGTGCTTTATACAGTTGCATCTTTGACATGTTCAAAATCCATTCCCAGCCATCTCTAGAAAATTAATTTATGAGTAACATAGCAGCTAGCAGTCAGAAATCAGGTTTAGAATGGCTGGGTGACAACCTTATTTAGCACGTACTTTACTTTGGAATCTCCTTTGAGCAAACCACAGAGTGATATTCTTAGAAATCGCAGTCAATAAGGATTTGTGTCATTTCTCATTAGGTCTTTGAAGATTTTTAAAGAATCTAGTTTAATTTTAGTGTTCTATGAAAGAGGAGTTTATGAGTACTGAAGTTGTCCTGAACACACACATGCACAACACATAGATGCAAACGTTCTTTTGAAGACCCATGTATTCTTGGAAAAAAGGAGGAGATATTTGTAGAGTGAAGGAGCTTCTAAGAAGTTTTCTTGGTGGTGGTCATCCTACTTTAAATTTGAAGTGACAGAGATTCCTTTTTCTTCCCCCCACCCTTTCACTTAGAAATAAAGGCTCCTGTAGGGAACCAAGTTCACTGCTTGAAAGGGTGATGTAACTTTTATTGTTGGGGAAAAGGAAGGAAGAAGAAAACCCTTGCTCTCTTTGTATTTAAGACAGAGCCTGAAAAAGCTACTTTTTTCGACAGCAGAATCCCCTATTTGCAATTGCTCCATACTAGTTGTGAGATTCCAGAAGTTGAAGTAAATAATGTAACTTTTCCATGTTCTGATTTAAGTTAAGATGGAATAATATGTGAAGGGTAGGTATTGCATTTCACAAACTGTGATTATTTGTGCTTCTAGCACTGCTTGTGCTACAAGCCTCATGATATAGTGGTTAAACTGCAGTACAGTACAGTGGTGCCTCGCATAACGATGTTAATTGGTTCCAGAAAAAAAAAACGTTATGTGAAAACATCGTTATGGGAAGCACCATTTCCCATAGGAATGCATTGAAAACCGGTTAATCCGTTCCAACTGGAACGGATTATCCGGTTTTTTCCCTCCCCCCGCGGCTTGGATCTGACCCATGGTGGCTACCTCAGCCATGGCTGGACTCCCTAGAGTCCGGCCATGGCTGGGGTAGCCGCTGCGGTTACCCTTTAAGCGGCGGGGACAGGCTGGGGGGTGGATCGGGGAGCTTGAAGCCTCTCCGTGCCGCCTACCCAGGTCGTTCCCGGACTTCTGGAAGTCCGGGAACGACCTGGGTAAGCAGCGCTGGGAGGCTTCAAGCTTCCCGATCCACCCCCCCAGCCTGTCCCCGCCGCTTAAAGCCTCCTTGTGCCGCCTACCCAGCCCTTTCTCGGACACCTAGGTCTCCGAGAACGGGCTGGGTAGGCGGCGGGGGGGACTACCGGCCTCGGA